AAATTTCATTGAAATTGGTTCAGGGGTTTTGGAGAAGAAGATTTTTGAAATTTTAGTCAATTTGACCCTTTTTGGCCCCGCCCCTCAGGCCCCTGGGGGCTTAGGACTAAACCGGCAACTCTTTTTGTTGACCTTTGTCCATGGAAGGTCCCTGCAAAATTTCACTGAAATTGGTTCAGGGGTTTTGGAGAAGAAGTCGAAAATGTAAATTGTTTACGGACGCACGACGGACGACGGACGACGATGAACAAAAGGCGATCGCAATAGGTCACTTGAGACTTTGTCTCGGCTCTGTCAAGTCATTTGCTACACAACATTTGTACAAATTCGGGTAATTCAAGGATGTAAATTAAAAACACCTGGCTATGTTGGACACAACAAGACCTCAATCAGAGGAACTAATTTCACAGGAATTTGGCAGACTTATTTGATTTTGAGAAGCTTTTGGTTTGTTTTGTGGTTTACGTCCTGCCAACAGCTATGGTCATTCAAGGATGTGCTATGTTTTGGTTGAGAAGGAAAACTGGAGTGCCTGGAAAACCCCCCACCAAACTTGGCCAGTACAGTGACTGCCCCACATAAACCTCGAACCTGCAACCCGGGTGTTGGACATCCTCACTACTCCAGGGGTTACGCTAACTTTCACTTTCTGCACCCCTGGAATATGTCATAGCAAAATTGAAGGCACAAAGATAGCTATTTGATTGGTCGCAGGTAAAAAAAACCTGACCAATCGCTAGACTGATACCCATCTTTTGAAGATTACAATTTTTAACGTTACGTTCCAGCAAGTTTCTTTTGATGTACATCAAAGGATCAAACTAGCCTGCTTGTCTGCACACTGAGCCTTTAATTTTGCTATGACATATATTCCAGGGGTGCAAAGAGCGAAAGTGATTTTAATAGACGGCCAGACGACGCCTTAACCACTCGGCCACTGCGGCCAAATTTGGAAAAGCAGCTGGACTAAATGAAACAAAGTCATCTTTGGATTCCTGGTAACAAACAGTCTAGTAATCTATGTTTCAATGAGGCTAGGCAGTATACCTAGATACCATTTCTTCGTTTTACTACACAGAGGGCAAAACTACACTAACATGTGTAGTGCCAGATCAGTGGGATTACTTCTCCTAACAATATCAGCATCACTGATTCCTCATAAACAAACAATGCTAACATTATCTTCTGTCATGATAGCAGCAACACAGAAACAACACCAAGGTTAACAAGCTTACAAGGGATCCCGTCTTTAAATGATAGAGCATCGGACATTGCTGATCGACTTATAAATACTTTCTAATGAAGTGAATAGATGCCATGCAATCCACACATACATGTACCCACACAATAACGTACCCACACAATAACGTACCCACACAATAACGCACCCACACATTGTATTTTCCAAACATTTATTATTCAATGGTATTTTGATGAAAGTTATTTTTTTCTGTGCATCTAGCTTTTGTACATTTCAACTATCTGTCAAGAGAGTAAGAAAAATACTTCCTTAAAAGTTTTCAATATACTGTAAGAATACACCCAGTGATTTTTAGCTCATTTTTACAGCCAAGTACAGGCTGTTTCCCAAAATGACCAAAACATGAGGAATGTATTCCCAATTTCAATACAAATCATGCTATATTTTCCCAATTCATAAAGGAACAGGCTGTTGTAACATTTAGGTAAAACAAACACCGACACATCACAATGTAAAATATTTTCTGGAATAAACACTGATGAGCACCAATATTTATAATGTATAGTAATTGGGTTGAGGGTGATTCGAGTACAGGCCCTTTGACCAAACCCATTTCCACAACATTATACCGTAATTAATGTACAACAAAAGAGTTCTACTGTTAGACTTTCATAACTATACAGATTAAGCCACTTGTGAACACGATCAGATCTCTGGTGACCTCTGACCTCATGGGTTAATATCAATAATCTGCCACTTGTTGACCATGGACAGGTAAGGATCTATTCTCTGGTGACCTCTGACCCTAATGATTAATCTCAATAATCAGCCATCTATTGAATATGGAGAGGTCAGAATTAGGTCTCTGGTGACCTCTGACCTCATAGATTTATGTCAATAATCTGCTACTTATTAAACATGGACAGGTAAGGTTCAGATCTCTGGTGACCTTTGACCGTAAGGATGAATGTCAATAAACAGCCAAATGTTGCCCATGGACAGATCAGTATCAGGTCTCTGGGTAACCTCTGACCTCATGGATAAATATCAATAAGTAAGGATCAGATCTCTGGTGACCTTTGACCCCATTGATTAATGTCAATATAGAGTCATTTGATGACTTTAGACAGGTCAGGATCAGGTCTCTTGTGACTTCTAACCTCATTGAATAATGTCAATAATCAGCCACTTGTTTACCATGGCAGATCTGGATCAGATCTCTAGTAACCTTTGACCCTATTGAGTAATGTCAATAATTGGCCATTTGTTGACCATGCATAGGTCTAGGTCAGTTCTCTGATGACCTTTGACCCTATTGATTACTGTTACTAATTAGCCATTTGTTGCCCATGGACAAGTCATGATCAGATCAATGGTGACCTCTGACCCTAATGTCATGAATCATGTAGATACAGTCTCTTGTTGACCTCTGTGATGGAAAGGTCAGCCAGTGGAGGTATGGACTCGGGTGGGAAGCTTCTGTCTGACGGCACAATGGTGTGACTATCTGAAAAAGCAACCCGTAAATGATGTTACTGTATAATACTTGATGACTTCTTGCAATCTCATTAGCAGGACACTAAACATATACATGTGACCAGTTCTCAAAAACTCATGCACAGTAAAACCTCCACATAATGCTCTCTGTTTCATTTGCCACCTTGTTCACTGCCAACTTATTTTAAGGGTTCATTTTTTCATTTTTTTTAGATTTTTTTATACATTTCCCACAACTTATTGCCAAACCCCTCAATAACACCAAAGTTCCTCTTGACAACTGGTGGCAGTATAATGAGGTTTTACTGTAAATCAGTTTTGCAGTGAATATCAATTTCAAAATACATGTAAATAGTCCTACACTTAACTAGGTGTTTGATACATGAATATTCATAGGTAATTTTTCAACATACAAAAGATATTTTTGCATGGTCAGCATGACTGTTATCTTAGCCAAGATGTGCATTTGAAACCTGCAATTCAACATTTAAAAACCTTCCTTTTTTTTTAATTTTCATTAAAGCATACAATTTACCAAATTATGGATATTTGTGAAGGTAAGTATGATGGGATATGAACCTGAAAAGGTTAAAATAACCTTGCCCTTACCTTAGTTGATATCATTGTTGCAGGTTCATATCACATCATATTCACACTAAAGTCCATAGTATGAATAATAAAATCTTAATCTGTAATAACACCTTGGTATACAGGCATAACACCTGGGAGTACAGACGTTTTACCCATCTGATTAAAGGATATGAATCATTATCAGGATAATCATTAATTGTTGTAAATTTATTCAAAATGCCATAACAGGACTTTACAGTTATGATAGCCTGATCGTCTGAGACTAGTAAGAATCTCCAACTAGACTAGTGATTCTAAAAACTGCTAGCCAGATTGACTAGTCAAAAATGATTAACTCATCCACCCCTGAAACTTCATAATGAACTATTCCAACCGTTGATTAGGAAGAGTTCAAATGTGTCTTCAGGGGTGAATGAGTTAAAGCTTAATTATCTTGTTGAATAGTTTTCAGCTATGAAATTGCACATGGACTAATAACAATTGGATATAACTACCCCAACAGACAAGTGGTATTCAAAATGAATTTCTAGCCCTGTATAAACTTCCTACAGTACATTGGCAGATTTTGCTCTCACCTTTGATTATCTCCCTTGATGTAAGTGGCGGAGAGTTCAGAAAGGTCAATCCAAAATAGAGAGAATAGCTCATCAGGAAACAGAAGCACGCAAATGTAGGTAAGGCAACTGCCCATTGTCTGTAAAGTGAAAATCGGTTACAAGTCAGGGTTATATATGTGTAAATTCTGTATATGTTTTGGTCACTAGACCAGCTGCAGCTAGCCCCAAGGTCTACAGCATTTACCTAATGCTGAAGCCTGCAGGTGTGTTAGTAGCTGTATGTGCATATCATCTTGGATGTTGGACATCTAAACAGAATCTTAAAATAATACATATATATATATATATATTAGACATTATGTCAATCTGAATATAGCCCTTTATAAAATAATTGCTTTTCAATGTGTTATTTTGTGTGATGTGAATTATAAAAAAATTAAGAGCTGAGTAAGAGTCCAGTTCATTGTGAAAGTTGAAAACTGTTTCACATGGTCTTTAGGACTATAAGCTTAATTATACCATTCACTCTCTTAGGGCCATACATATCACACGTAATATAGAGTCCTGATAACCTAATTAAGGACTAATGATGCTTCTGATAACCTAATTAAGAACTTATGATGCTTATTTTATTTAACAGAGTTATGATAGATGAGGAATCACCCACACCTCAATGTACATGTATCACCCTTTCTGTGCCAGACTTTTTTACCCTTCATATTTATCTTTATTTTTTCCATGTATTTGAAGACAAAATAAGAAATGTATTTTCCTTCAAGAAATAGTGTTGAACATCTTTCAAGATAGGATTATGTGTCCGATTTCATAATTGAAGAAATGAAAGTAAGAATTTGGGAGACTTGTTCTAAATTAAGAGGAATGTACAGTTTTGATAGCAATTAACCTATTTTACAAAAACAAAAAAAATCATATATATATGTAAAAATGTAGAAAACATCACTATATACTCACTTCTGCGGCCAGTAGTCAAGTCCAAGTTGGTGTAACCATGCATCTGGTACCCACGCCCATACAAGGTACAAAACTGAAAAAATAGGTCATTGAATGTCAAACTAAAGAAACTGTTAGTGAGCTCACAAAAATATACCACCTTGTGCTTAATTACAGTGTTTCTGGAGCAGAAATTAAAGTTTCAAGGGACACAACTCCATGAAATATAGTCAAAGAGTCAAGTCCTTTCTTCATGCACAACTTCATACAAGTATTTTCACTGTGTAAATTTACAAAATAATCCAACACAAGGTTTAGGAGGAGTTGGGTTTACAAGGATCAAGGTTGACAGTCAATCACGAACGGACAAACAAACGGGTGATTCTATAACCCTTCGCAAATTTATTTTGCAGAAGATATACTAATATTTAAGGTACTTGCCAATAAGCATATAATATACAGTATTTATTCAAAACAAAATTTGCTTGTAAATTAGGCCACTTCTCATTTTTTTTTTTAAACCTAATAAGGTTTACAGGATGTGTTGAAAAAGGGTGCATTATATATATTGAGTTTTTTAAAATACCAGTTTTAAATGTGTTTGTGAGGAAATGATATACCTGCATATGTTACAATACACATCTGTCTTTCAACATACTTTTAAACTGACCATTTACAAATACATGTATTAGTTAAGTATAAACATATTTATTGCCAAAATTAGACATAGGATTAGGCACAGGTTATAACAACTTATCAACGCCTTCTCCCGATATATAACAAATACATGTATACATGTAATCTTATTATATCTAAAGTATACCTGAATGTAAGACAATTAAGTCAGAATTCTTCATAATAGTTTATTTACACCCCAGAGAACATTACAAGCACAACTGGATCCCAAAGGTCTTCTATATGACTTTGCTGCATAAACTTACAAAACAAAACAAATGCCAGCAGGTACAGGAAAAATCCGTAGATGGCACGTTCAGGTGTTGGTGATGGGGAATGTTCCGGCATTCTTTACCACAATCAACGCTGCATGCTCAGCTATAAGCTATTAGGCAGTAACAAATTCACAGTTGATAGATAATTTTACATTGATCTGAAAACAATTCTTTATATATATAACACCAGTTTTAAACACAATTAGATTATAGTAGACGGCCCCCATCTCTTGAAAACTGAATTATTAAGAAAAACATCAACTAATGTTGATCCTTTGGATTGTCTGATACTAGGATCAGAGTAACCAGCTGTTTCAAACTAGAGGGAGTTTTAACACATATATAATATAAAAATAAAGTCATGATTACAGACAGATTAACCTACGTTGATCACTTTGGAAACACAGACTTCTATCGTTAAAATTATTCTTGCTTGAAATATGTCATAAGGCGACAATAACATTACAATAAGCTTTCAATTTTGTATAGCCATGGTCGGGTTGGTAGTTACAGGTGCTCGGGTTCTGGAATTAATGTGATTTAATTAGGTTTCGCACAGGTATCATATGATTTATTAGTATAGTTGGATGCAATACTTAAAAAAGAAGCGTTATATTTAATCTAGAACCCAACTATTAACTATATTATAGTGATGTGATATTATCATGTGCAATGCTTAACTGTAACAAATATATATTCTAAAACCCAAACACCTGTATAGTTACCATATATTTCTATTTGTCCATTTCTATAAGCCCGTGTTTCTTCTGGCCCTGACCCAGCCTTAGACATTTTGACAGATTGTTATCTAGACATCTATAACTAATACTATCTGTCAAAAAGTCTAACGTCTGGTGTCAGGGCCAGAGGAAACTCGAGCTACATTTCTATCTACTAGGTAAAACAGCTGTTTCCTACATGATCTATGACGGGAACAAGTATATCAACATCCTGTAGCACACTGTGCTTACTGTTTACCTTGATACTAGTCTAAATCATGAACCAAGCAGAATATTGTTTCAAGTTCTTCTTTTCCTTCCTGTAAACACACCGCAAAATTATAATATAGTAAACCGTATTAGGTCATTGTATATCCGGAAAGAATATTACTTTCTTTCAACATTGATAATTCAATGTTATTGAATTTTTAATGAACATTTCTTACTTAATTTTATTTTGCTATATATTTATATATTTAGATCAAACAAACATACTAAAGAAACAGAATGTAATGAACTTTTATTTGTTTCCGGAAAAAGATATACTTATGTTTTCTATATTATAGTTGATTAAATACCGGAAGTACCATTTCTGTTTACATCATGGCGGCGATTGTCTCCACTGGTAAACAGTGGAAGGATTTTTTCGAGAAAAATAACCATTTGCCACCTGCAGAAAACCGGGAACAAGCTGCTCCTGAAATATCAACTCCGATTTGTATAAGCCTGACGGGAATTGAAGGTCTATTTGTTCGAGTAAGTATTCAATTTTAAATTTATATTTTGCCGCGTGTCTGAGCATGTTTTGATGCGAAAATGTTGACATGGATTTTACATTATCAGTTCTCTCACAGCAGAAAATATACAAATATTGTGAATATTTTGTATAAAGGATATAGTTGTCTTTGTCCATCGCAAAGAAATACATGTAGCAACCTCAATCCAACATAACACTTAATAAAGAAATTCAAATTTAAGGATCCAGAGATACAAAGAACAGTGTAAAAGAAGATGATTTTATGTCGTATTCATCAAACAAACGGGTGGGTTGTCCTGCTGGGTGTCTTCGGCAGTATGTTTCAGAGTCAGAATCAGTTCCGCGCTATCACAAGGAGACAAACACATATCTCAGCCTCCCAAAACACACACGCATGCATCTTGCACACAGTGGAGGCCGTCCTTAAATGACCTGAGCATATAGATGTTGATAGGATCTAACAGCAAGCAGCATGTGATATTTGTGGAGATGTTTGCTTGAGAGACCTATCTAGGGACCATCCAGTGCATTACAGAAAATGAGAAAGGAGTTGCGGCTGACATTCCCATTTAAATTAAAGTGGTCAAAGGGTTAGTGCCAGCACTGGTACTGCCACCTCAAAATATTGTTAACTGACTATGAAGGTTTCCAACAAACAATTAATTAAGCCATACAGATGACCAATTAGATCATCTGTATGGTTTAAAGGATAGGAGAGCTTCTACCATGTACAGAAACCATTTAAGGTGTCTCTTGTCAATACCAGCAACAATTCTAGTCTACAAAAATATGTACAGCCTCTTCACAAAGAGTATTCCTGATTGGAACCATTTAAAGGAGTAAATCGTCTTCATCGGGAAACTTGAGGCATTCAAGGCGGCTCTGCAGCACTGAAAACCATTTTTAACATGCACTCTCCATTTTAACTATGCAGGTATTGGATTCTAACAATATATGAACCATTGTATCAAACATAAGAAACACTAGTACTTTAGTTTGTGCATTTAGGTGCATCCCTGATCCAGGGGCACAATTGCAGGAGATGGCTTCTGATTGCCTAAGAGATTGTCTGATATGACGGATGGTGAGAATATTTAATATGTATATTTTCAGTATTATATGCACTGGTAATTCAACAGTGATCTTTTTAAACCATTAACACATTTGAACCTTACCAAATCAAAGACTGGTTAAGTCCAGTTTAAAATTGTTGGGGCGGGGGTGAGGTAATAGTCCGCAATAACATATATGTATATATGCATGTATTTATGGGGCAAAGAAGTAATTCCAACAGTGTGGACAAGTTTAGGTTGTCAAATTTTCGGAGCGATCCGCTCCTTTTTCAAGACACAGTGAAACAGAACAGTTACATGTACATATACATCATATTACAAGAAGATAGAATTGATATACTATAATTGAAAATATAGCTATTATATAAAACCAATAGTCCCTTATAATATATAATGATAAATGAATGCATAAACCTATGGCTATGGTTGCTTTTCCTTGGTGAACATATAGCAAGATTGATTATATTTTAGTTTCATGTGTGATCTAAGACTCACGTATATGTAACAAGCCCCCAAGTTTTGGCGAAGAATTTCTCAACTGCATTTTACTACTAGCATATCTCCCCCTAGTTTAGAACTAAGAATCAGACATCCAAGTGATCAAAATTATCAAAGTTAATTGTTTTCTAAATACATATATGTAATTCAATATTCTAGAGACAGCGGCCAGTCTAGAGTGATCATACGCATATTTACTACCTTTATTCTTGAGTGATTGGAATATATAAATGGCTTTGATTTATTTATATGATAGAGTTTTTGTGAAAGGAACCAGGCACTGTAAAGTACATATAAAGTTACCTGTATTGTATATCTACATAGTTCATTGGAAATCACAGACATCTGTCAATGGGTTTTTCCACGTCAGGGTTAGGTCTCCAATCCCCTTAATATACTGGTAAGATATGGTATAAGATGCTGTAATGTGCCATGATTATGGCGAACAGGCTTGATTGCCCTTAGACTGATCTTTACTTATTGTCAATATTGTGCTGTATTTTACATTATACTCAAAATACTTAAAACTTTCATGAGTAAATAAAAGACATAATGCTGGGATCCCTTCCCAATGGAAAATTCTTTACCATTTAAATCACAATTAAAATTAATTGCTAAATTTTTATTTACCAAAATCTCTGAAAAATTCCCAATTTAAAAACAAACATTTAACAAATAACATCTCAGCTTGTTTTCAGTTCACATGACAATGCAATGGTATCATCTAAAATGAAATAACTTTTGATTGATAAGGATATTTAAGTCATTTAGATGATACTTTGCAAAAAATCAGTGTCGGTGGTATCATTTCACAATTCCTAATTTGGTATACACTATACAGAGATAATCCTGTATAGGGGGCCATAATGTTCCAATTTTATTTTATTCTTATTTAGAATCGTCCCTCTCGATTTTGATATTGACTAAAAAATGCTGAAAATGGGACACTGCTCTCAAAGTCCAGGAATTTTCCCAGGGTATATACCACAACACATTTTCTCGATTCGTGAGCATCATGCATCATTTGCAAATTAGTGAAAAAAGCTTTGACATAAATCAAGTACTTCATTATTACAATAGGAATATTTGGTTAAATTATTGGTGTAGGAAAGGACTTTTCTACTTTCAAATCCAAGGGTTCTCATCTTTTTCCTTGCCTTGTACAGTCAACATTCACAATAAATGGACATGAGACCTTACTTTTTCCCAAAAATAAAATATCAAACTAATGCATAAGATAAATAGCATAATAGATGATGGCAGGCTTAACTAATTTATGCAGCCATAAATGAGATGAAATGCTAATTTATGTTAAAAGATAGATAAAGAACTATTCAATATCCTTTGGTAACTGTAATGAATTATAAACTGCAGTGCAATCTAAAGTTATAGTTTATATACAGTAAAACCTTGTTATAAGTATACTGCCACCTTTTGTTTAGCCATGTGGGGTTGCCACATGGTTTGGCAACACATTGACTTGTATGGAATTGTAATGAAATATCAACTTTATTTTACAACAATTATGAAACAAGTTATATCAAGTTGTATTAATCACTCTCGTTGGCTTGGATGTTAGCTGTTGGGGGTCTTAATGTGGAAGGAAACTGCAGTATCAGGATTCGCACCCGGCTGCCTTAAAGCTTGGTTAAAGGCAATTACAAGTGCGCTATCCACTGCGCCATACGACTGTCCTGTGCATTTTGACAGTAGGTAATAAGGTAGCAAACAAAACCAGGGACATTCTAATGATATTCGCTGTGTACAGTATACTTAATTTGATGCAGTCGTTTCATGAACCTGCAGGCAATTAAATGTAAACTTTAATAAAAAAAATAACTGAAAAAAAATATTATTGACACATAAAATAAATAATTTGTTCCGAAATGATACTTGGAACATTTGTTCATTAGATTTTTATCACAGGTGATGGATATTGAGCAATATAAATGTGTTATATATGACATCTAGGTGATACGTACATGTAGATGGAAGTGAACATGAAAGGGGAACAACTCTTATAGTACTATACAGATTGGAAAATGATATCTAGGGAAAGTTGTCCAGGACAGGAATTGGTCATTTATCAATGGTTAAAATTTCAGAAAAATCTTGGCCTGGTCTGTAGACACCTATACAAGAGAAAATAACTTGGAAATCTATTGAAGGAATATTAATGATAACAGTTGATTTTATAAATAAATGATGTTTATTTTCATTGATTCAAAATTATTGAAATATCAATAGGGATATTAGTTTCATTTATATTTGACAAAGACAGTTATATAAATTAGTAATGGCCTTTTATTTATAATAAAATGGCAAACAAATCCATGCCAAAAAAAGTCAAACAAATTCGGAACACTTCTTGGTTGGATATGCATGTACATATACGACACAGAGCATAGGGACATATTGTACCTTTTGTAAGCCCTGATATAAAACTCTACCCCACCCCTGGTAGTCATTACTAATAGATTTGTACAACCCTTGAACACATCATCTAAAAATCAATAAACTTATAAAACTATTTTTATTATAGAACATACATTTACTACATATTATAAATTATCAGGGCTTGAAAATGAGGGTTTAAGAGCCCGATAGTTTATGACCTAAGGGAAATCTCCAGTCGGAATAATCACAGGATTAAAAAACTGCTAGCCAGACTCACATGTCAAATTCTTATATAATATATATATAATGTTTTTTTTACATAAATCTTATAACAGTCTGTTTCTTTATTATTTGGGGAAAATATAGCACTTATTTTATTGGAATTGGGAATATATTCCTCATTTTTTGGTCATTTTGGGAAAACAAGACGGTACTTAAAATTTTAGCTAGAGGAAACAGCCTGTATTTGGCTGTAAAACGGAGCAAAAAAATCACTGATACATATATAATACTTTATGTTAAATAATACAGCAGGGCCTATATATAAGAGATACATTTTAAAGGTCAGTTCGATAAGATCTAGGTTTCTAATTTTACAGTGCAAATTCTTTTAAC